TATATATATATATATATATAAGTATGAAGGGTTTAGGGTTTAGGGTTTAGGGTTTAGGGTTTACGCGATTATCTTTCCATGCATCAGCAAGAGAGAATCCAAGGAAACGCATTTTATAAGAAGCAACAATTAGTCCTGTCCTGTCTCTACCATGGTGGCAGTGCAGCAGGTATACAGTTGCCTTCTTGCTGCTGCTGCTGCTGCTGCTGCTGCTGCTGCTGTTGATGCTGTTTGTGTTGCTGTAGTCCGGGGGTGTAAGGCCTGCTGCAGCAGCAGCAGCTGCTGCTGCTGCTGCTTCCGTCAAGGAAGCAGCAACTAACGGATCCTCTAGGTGCCTCTTATGGTGATGGTGAGACATTTGCTGCTCCTGCTGCTGCTCGTCTTGCTGCTGCTGCTGCTGCGGCTGCTGCTGCTTCTGACTACATACATGGCATCCTGTTGGCCCTGGCAACGGTGTATCGTCACCTCCATGGGGAACCTCCTGCTCCTGCTGCTCTTGCTGCCCCTGCTGCTGCTGCTGCGGCTGCTGCTGCTGCATGCAAGGCCCGCAGTGCTTGCAGTGCTTTGGCATGCTGCAGTGTTTGCAGTGGTGGCATGCAGCAGCATGCTTCGGAGCAGCAGCAGCAGCAGCAGCAGCAGCAGCAGTCAAATCTGCTGCATATTTTGCTGCTGCTTCTGCATTTTTTGCTGCTGCTGCTGCTGCTGCTGTTGCTGCTGCTACTTCTGCAGCAGCATTGGGGTCTTCTTGGGTGTCGGACTCGGCAAGAGTCCTGGGTGGTGCTGCTGCTGGTGGTGCTGCTGGTGCAGCCCCTGGTGCAGCAGCAACAGCAGCAGCAGCAGCAGCAGCAGCAGCACGTGCTGCATCACCAGCAGCTGCATGCAAATGTATCTGGCTATACAAAAGATTTAATCTCTGCTCTAAGAAATCGCCGCACCAAGCCGCCAAATTCTTAGCCATCGCTATACGGTTCTGCAACAAACCCTAAACCCTAAACCCTAAACCCTAAACCCTAAACCCTAAACCCTAAACCGTAGCTAGCGAATACAGAGAATGTGCAAAAACAGGGAAATGTCAAACCCTCATATACAAACCCTAAACCCTCACGATAATCCAAGGCATATATCCAACAACTCAGCCTCTTCCCTCAGGCCCCAAGCCCTAAACCCTAAACCCTAAACCCTAAACCCTACCGGTTCGGGGACGTCGTAAGGGTTTACACTTTCTCCGTAGATTGGCCAATGGTGTACAGATACCGTAAGGTCACTACGGGCTTCCATTAAGCAAACTTCGCGATTTAACTCGCATTTTTCATTAAGCTGCATGCAAACCCTAAACCCTAAACCCTAAACCCTAGAAAACACCTCTAAAATATGTCAGAGTTCCAACGAAAACCCTAGAGACCTCAACGACAAACCCTGAACCCCCAACCATAAGTGCTAAACGCTAAACCCCAAACCGTAAATCCTAAACCCCAGACCCCAAACCCTAAACCCTAAACCCTAAACCCTAAACCCTAAACCCTAAATTCTTACACTATTATTATGTCCATTCCATACAAGAGGAAAGACTTTTAGCTCAAAGTTGTCGGGTAAAAAAAGACCCGCTAAATGTGCTTGGCGTTGCATTGCTCTTTTTAGTTCTTCTGTCATTATATAACCTGGACGTAAACCCTAAACCCTAAACCCTAAACCCTAAACCCTAATTAACAATAGTAAACCCTAATATGTAATAGAGGGAGAAAATACAAACCCTAGGATCCAAGTAGCACTACAGAAACCCTCGTAAACCTTAGGAACTAACGTGCGAAGCTGCAAACCCTCGCAAACACGGTCCAATACCTAAACCCTAAACCCTAAACCCTAAACCCTTTCTGACCTCCACCAGGAGAAAGAGGCATCGGCGATCGGAATAGAAAGGTGTTATTCTCAGGAGAAGCGTCAACAAGGCGCACCATATCCTCTGTAGCACAAACCCTAAACCCTAAACCCTAAACCCTAAACCCTCGAAACACCCGTTGGAGGTTCCAAGACCGTTTCAGTCTTGCTGCTGAGGGTTTAGGGTTTAGGGTTTACCTGAGAAGAAAGAAGGGAAGCTGTAGGCCCTGCACTCCTCACTCTTGGATACACGACAAGAGGAAGATATGGGGACGGTAGCTGCAACAGAACCCAAACCCTAAACCCTAAACCCTAAACCCTCAGTATGTTGAGGCGCACAAATATAGGTGCGCTAGGGTTTATACTATGACTGCCTAGGGTTTAGGGTTTATAGATTGATTAGGATTTAGTTGCATATGTTTCGGGCTAGGGTTTGGGCAGCCCCTGTCTGTCAGCGGGGTCCCCAGAAAGCTAGGGTTTAGGGTTTAGGGTTTAGGGTTTACGGGATTCAGAACCAGATAAACAACGAAAGAAATAGATGACCGCTAAACCCGCGAATAAGAGAAGAAGGCAAGAAACAGAAAGCCATTCAGTCCTTCTTCTTCTCTGTCGTGGGGTTCCTGCAGTCACCAAACCCTAAACCCTAAACCCTAAACCCTAAACCCTAAACCCTAGTACGTACTTAGCAGTCGAGCTAAAAAAACGCCTCTTCGTCCACAGATAGTCTCTGGAAGCTCACGAACAACCTAAACCCTAAACCCTAAACCCTAAACCCTAAATCCGCTCACCGTCGTAAGCGACATGATATCCATTAACGTCTGTAGGTTGCTGTTGGGGCCCCCAGGGGCCCCCTGCTGCAGCAAACCCTGCTGCTGCTGCCTCATCATACCCTTCTGTCTTCCTTTGTACATTAAGAGGGTTTGTGAGGGTTTGTGCCGCAGTAAGGGGCGTTCGGCTGTCTGCGCAGCCTCCCAACTCCATTGTAAACCCTAAACCCTAAACCCTAAACCCTAAACCCTAAACCCCATGTGGTATAATGGGGAAAATGAAGACTGACACCGCAGGAAGGACCGCAGGAAGAACTCGTTACTACACCCCCTCCCAAACCCTAAACCCTAAACCCTAAACACTAAGCGCTAAACCTCGCGTCTTCTGCTATTCTTTTTCTTTCTAGATCTATTTAAAGGCAAAATTTAGGCAAAAAAGACAAATGGATAAACCCTTTCCTCACAAACCCTCGCTTAGGTGTACAGACACGTCCGGTGAGGGGCCCCCCGGTGCTCCTGATGGGGAGGGGGGGCCCCTAATAATAGGAGGGTTTAGTTGTATTAGGGTTTATAAAAAGGGTTTAAATAAAGTATTTATAACAAATAAAATAAAATAAAATAAACACTAATCTAAACCCTAAACAGCGGAGAGGGTTTCGCGGCGATAGACGACTCTATCGCAGAAGGACCTCTAGGGTTTAGGGTTTAGGGTTTAGGGTTTAGGTAGGTACAAGGGAAAGTTGTTGTTTAGAAGTCAAATTGTTGAGAGGTTCAAACGCAACGAGCACTCTAAACCCTAAACCCTAAACCCTAAACCCTAATGCGTCTATCCTTTGCTAGGTAACAACGTACTGAGCCAACTGCAGACGATGACGCCAAACCCTAAACCCTAAACCCTAAACCCTAGACGGGAAGCGGTAAATAGCTAGCCAAGGACCTTCATGGCGATCCTCCAATGCGATAGCAAGCCCTATAAAACAAAAACCTAAACCCTAAACCCTAAACCCTAAACCCTTATTCTCCTCCTCCTCCTTCTCCCTGACTTTTGCTTTTACGTCGAGATCTAACCCTCTTTACTGCCGATTGTTTCTGCACGCACGCACAAACCCTAAACCCTAAACCCTAAACCCCAAACCCTAAACCCTAAACCCTAGACCTTAAATCCTAAACCCTAAACCCTAATGAATACGATCCTTACGGGGGTTTCTATAATCATCTTTTTACTCTTTTTACAAGAAAGAGGATTAACCCCTTTCTTCCTCCTGCACACATAAACCCTAATCACAACATTTGCTGCTGCTGCTGCTGCTCCTGCTCCTGCTGCTCCTGTTGCTGCTGCAGCAATAAGTGCAGCACAAGTAGCAGTAGTAGTACTAACGTCAGCAACAGAAGCAGCTGCAGCAACAGTAGGAACAACAGCAGCAACAGCAACAGCAGCAGCAACATCAGCTGCAGCAGCAACAGCAGCAGCAGCAACAGCAGCAGCAGCAGCAGCATTAGGGTGAGTTGCTAACTTCTTTTTCTTTGCTGCTTTTTCTTGTTCTTTTTGCTGCTGTATTTCTTCTGCTTGCTGCTGCTGCAGCAGGACAGTACAATCTTTTCCTTCTTGCTGCATTTGCTGCAGTTGCTGCTTCCTTTGTACCTTAAGACGTTCTTTCTCAGCAGCAGCAGCAGCAGCAGCAGCAGCACCAACTGTCCTGCTGCGCTGCTGCTGCTGCGCCCTCATTAAAGAAAATTTTGTTGGAGGCTCAACTTGAAGAACTCCTTTAAATAAAAATAAGAGAGGGAGGCCGGGTACCCGCCTGCAGCAGCAGCAGCAGCAGCAGCAGCAGCAGCAGCAAGAGCAGCAGCAGCAGCAGTAAGAGCAGCAGATTATAATAATCATCAGAGACAAGAGAAGTATAGACAGAAGAAGCAGCAGCAACAGCAGCAACAAACAGCAACAACAATAGCAGCAGCTACAACAACAACAAACAGCAGCAACAACAGCAGCAACAGCAGCAGCAGCAACAGCAGCAGCAGCAACAGCAGCAGCAGCAGCAGCAACAGCAGCAGCAGCAGCAGCAGACCTGAGTCTCTCCCTGAGTCTATTATCTTGAGTAGCAACACATAAGAGTCTCCTTTCTTGTTGACTAACAAGACGAACTATGCAGCTGTAGGCGTCACTAAGTGTCTCCTTTCCTCCTGCTGCTGCTGCTGCTGCTGCTGCTGCTGCTGCTTCAGGAGATGTCTCCCCATTTACTGCTGCTGCTGCAGTGGCGGAAACAGCAGCACTTGGATGCTGCTGCAGGTGTACATTTAATTGGCTTAAGTGTCTTGCTGCTGCTGCACTTGCTGCTGCTGCTGCTCCTATCTTGTGGTGCTGCTGCTGCTGCTGCTGCTGCCTACTCTCTAAGAATTCTCCTGGTAAACCCCCACCTATAAGGGCAGGGTGATGAAGAAATTTCTGCTTAGGTATATCCAGCTTCCTGCTGCTGCTGCTGCTGCTGCTGCTGCTGTTGCTGCTGCTGCTGCTGCTGGGGGCTGAGGGCTCGTCTTCGTCGCTGCTGCTACTATCCTCAAATAGGTGCCTTCTTTGAGTAGGCTGCTGCTGCTGCTGCTGATCAGCTGCACCTGCTGCTTCTTCTGCTGCTGCTGCTGCACTGTTGCTGCTGCTGCTGCTGCGGTGTTTGTTTCCCATTTCCTTCTTTGTTGGGGCCGCAGCAGCAGCAGAATCTGCAGCACCTGCTGCTGCGCCTTCTGCTTTTGCTGCACCGTCTGCTGCTGCTGTTGCTGCTGCTGCTGCGTCTGATTCGTCTACAACTGGTGTTGCAAGAGCAACAGCAGCAGCAGCAGCAGCTGCTGCTGCTGCTGCTTGTGCCTCCTCTTCGTGTTTACAAGGATACCTACATCGGTGCAGCACATCTAAACCCTAAACCCTAAACCCTAAACCCTAAAATAAATGCGACGAGGGAAGATGAGACTTGTTGGTAGATAAGAGTAAACACTAATAATAAGGGCTAGGGTTTAGGGTTTAGGGTTTACCTTCCATAGCGTTTTGCTGCTGCTGCTGCTCCTTCTGCACCAGGAAGACTCCTTAGCTCCTTCATTATACAAGGAGTTGTAACTGTAAGCATAAACCCTAAACCCTAAACCCTAAACCCTAGCTAGCGAGTACAGGATGTTTGTCTTAGGGTGAAAGGACTATCGATGACTGAGGTAGAGGCAGCTGGCAAGGGTTTAGGGTTTAGGGTTTAGGGTTTAGGACTTACGCATGCGGGTTTTGCCGCAGAGGACGCGAGGCAACAACTCAGCAGCATTTACTTTATGACGAAGACAAGCAGCAATAAATGTACCATCAACTGCAGCACAAACCCTAAACCCTAAACCCTAAACCCTAAACCCTAAACCCTAGACATGGGGAGGCAAAGAACCATAAACCCTTCCTTCTCTGCAACAGAAGAAATACTGAAGAAAGAGGGGTTATACAAATAAGGTGCTGAGACACTTCGGGCTTAAAGAAAATTAGGGTTTAGGGTTTAGGGTTTAGGGTTTAGGGTTTAGGGTTTAGGGTTTACCAATAACCTGATAAGGCTCCCGTATCCCGAAGTGGGTTGCATAGAAGCGCATTATCTTCTTAAAATTCTTTCTTCGACTCACCCTCATCTTCAAAAACCCTAAACCCTAAACCCTAAACCCTAAACCTTAAACCCTAAACCCTAAACCCTAGAACGCGGCTGGCTCCAGGAGGGAATTGCACCGTCGCTATCTGCGGTGTTGTTGGGCTGTATATAAACCCTAAAAAGATTCTTCTTGTTTCTTTTGCTGCTGTTGCTGCTGTTGACGGAATTGCTGCTGTTGTTGCTGTTGCCCTTGTTGCTGCAATTGCTGCAGTTGCTGCTGCTGCTGCTGACCAACAGGCTCCTGCTGCGTCGCAGCAACATACGCAGCCACTCCCCTTTTAGGGTCTTCGTTATAAAATAATTGAGAGCTAAACCCTAAACCCTAAACCCTAAACCCTAAACCCTAAACCCTAAACCCTAAACCCTAGCCCGTAAACCCTAAACCCTAAACCCTAAACCCTAGAATGCAGCGGGGGCCCCTGCAGCAGACCCGTGGGGCCCCCCGGCCGAGACAGGCAGCAGCAGGCAGTTCCAGCTGCTGCTGTTGCTGCCGCTGCAGCACAGCAGAAGCTGCTGCAGGTGTTGTTATAAATATTTTATAACACGAAAGGGTTTAGTGTTTAGGGTTTATTGAATAGTTCATGTATAAGGGTTTAGGCTTTAGGGTTTAGGGTGTGTGCCCTCGACGTCAAGACGGGTCGCTGTCGAGACACCGCAACCGCGCAGTCCACTGTTGTGGCTGTGAGGGTTTAGGGTTTAGGGTTTAGTGTTTAGGGTTTAGGGTTTAGGGTTTAGGGTTTAGGGTTTACGGTAGCAAGAAGAAAGATTGAATCTTCTGAGGTGTCTGTACCCCTCGTAGCAGCCCCCCCCCCTCCCTGCGTCGTCGTCGCTAACACCACCAAGAGCAGCAGCAACAGCAGCAGCAGCAGCAACAACAACAGCAACAAGAGCAGCAGCAGCAGCAGCAGAAGGAAGAAGATGTCAGCCTCTGACCCCGCTCTTCCTGTGGGGCGTTCGCCTCCCTCTTGGGTGATAGAAGAAGGGGATATAAAACACTGCAGCAGCAGCAGCAGCAGCAGCAGCAGGATAATCAGCAGCAGCAGCAGCAGCAGCAGCAGCAGGACAATAAGAGGATGTTTGTGTGTATTAGGTGGTATATTATTGCATGCAGCATTAGGTAGTATATATACATTAGGTGTATCATTTATATATTTTATTTCTTATATAAAAATAAATAATAATATAAATAATAATAT